ATTTTAATCTTCATGATAAACTGATCAATGGAATAGTCAATTTGGATCACTGAGGATTGATGGGATTGATGGTCTTTTCATGATTTTAAAGGGTTGATTTTGATTTTGATTTTGATTTACCTTGGTGTATCTTAGTAGGCTTTCCTTGAGGAAGTATTCTCTTCCTCAAAGGTCTATGTGTCTGAAGACTTGATTTAAATCTGAATGTTGAGATGCAGATAAATTTCAACTTTGAATCAATTGTTAACCAATTTTGTGAAGGAGAACATTGATGTTGATGTTGAGGCCGAGTTGGTCAATGATCAAATTGAGATGGTGTCTGATGGTGTGATTTATCACGGTGTCAAGTACATAGGCCTCTTATTCAGGGCTACCTGCATGAAAAAATCAAGAAACTCATGTGGTTTTATGTGGTGTAACATTTGTGTACTGCACCAGTTGGATGGCCATGCAACACCCGCAATAGTTGCTGTATGCGGTGCTACAACAGCTGTTGTGCTGCTTTTAGAAAAAAGAACAATTTTCAAGGGGTAGGATGCTTGGCAGGGTCTTACACCTCAAGAGCTGCACTGCTTTGCAGTGCAGCTGTGTCTCTAAACTGAAGCGCACCGCCACGCAACAGCAACCATCAGCATTGCTTACCCGGTGTTGAGACAACTCACCCATTATGTTTTCTATGACTTTACAATCATGGATCTGATTTTTGGGATGATTAAATGGCACACATCCTTCATTGTAAAAAGTTGCACACATTTCAAGGGGTGCAAATTGTCAGCATTGGTTCATATGCCCACAGTCTAGATGCTTGTAATGTCACTGACTGTAATTGCCAGGTCCAATGAGGCTATACTTGTCACATCTTCAGGTTTCTGTTGGCAGGAGACTGCTGCAATTGCGGGCCATTGGGTAAACACCCGATCCGCCTGTACAAGTTCATCTGCCATTAGTAGTGTGTGTTGTAATATTGCTAATAGAGCTGGAGGATGGATTGCTTACTTGCTTGGCAGCTTGATCCAGGGAAATGTCTGATACTATGGTCTTCATAAACTAGCCCGTGCCTAACTTACCACAAGTCCAAATCTACCGCAGGGCTCTCTTAACCTTGCGAGCTTGGTGCCCTGGGTAGGGACTTGCAAATAATTGCATACTTTTGGTGGCCAAGCCAGAACCCAAAACCCCCGTTCAGCTTTACAGCTGCCTATCTGTTGTAGTTTGGATGCTACAGACTTTCTGAGGATACCAAAATATTCTGGAGAATGAAATGTACACCTTTCATCTTTAACCACAGCTGCTGGATTAAATGGCAGTCCTCTTTCATTGAAAGAGGATTGTGTTCAATTATAAATTTTGTTTTGAAAATACAGTCACTGTCACCAACCAAATTTGAAATTCCAAAAACATCTGTGCTTTTTTGTGGATGCTCAGAAAAAGTTAACGGAATTCTGAATAGACAGATGTGTTGGGAATTTTGTGAAATATCTCCAGTTCAAAATCAAACAGGGGTTAATTGAGTGGAAGTGGGACTTTTTGAGGTGGTGAAAATGTCTCCAGGCCAAACTCAAATTTAAGGAGTCCTGCTCAACCACCAGGGAAGCCCGATTAGTCCTAAGTCCCTCACCAGACACCCGAGCTTACAAGGAGAAAGTGTCTGACTGTGGGACTTAGTTAATTTAGAGCCAGTGCAATTGAAGACATGCAGTTGGATTGAAAATTAAAATCACAGTGCCAATTGTGTTTGCAAGCCCTGCAGGAAAAACTGTACTGACCATCATAGGTTTTCTCATACTTGAACCATGTTCTGCATATCATGTTGCCTTGATTAAATTGTATCAAGTTGAAAATGACAAAGACAATCATAAAGTGGTGGTAAGTACTGAAATTCATCTTGGTAAAGGAAGTGGGCTTCAGAGAGGCGATTGTGTAGATGATGCAGAGTTCACGATTTGGAAGCGGGGGGAGCTCAAAAAGCTTTTGAAGACTGGAATTATTAGGATGAGAAGGACAACCACTTGCTGGGGTTTTTTAGGGGAAATTTGGACAAGCGTTCTGAATTTGACAGCATGGGACTCTGATGAGTTTAGACAGTCTCAACAATTTCAAACTTTGGGTGATGTGTTCAAAAGTCATAAGCAAACATTTGATAGATTTGACAACTTGTGCTCACGGGTAGTCTCCGGTGCTCTACCGCTGGAAACATAAATTTTAAATAGTGTTACATTTCTGACACAAACGCAAGGTCGTCTTTACGTTTCCAAATCTTTTCCAAAAAAAGTAGGCCATGGATGTGAGTGTGGCTTTGCTTTTTCCGCCAACCGGAATATGTAAGCCTCATCATCATTGTTTCTATGTAGTTGAGCCAGAAACGACAGAAAAATTGAAATGTGTTATCTCATGGTATGGCGTGCGGCAAGCAGTGAGGGACTTGGGGTTGGTCACATCAACAATGGAGATATTAGAGCATCTCCAACGGTCCTGAATTGCAAAAAAGGCGTACAGTGTCATCTCATAATGTACAGCTTGCTGTATTCACCCTGAATAATTGGGTCACCTCCAATGCGCACATGCAGCAAGGCATTTGAATGTTGTACCCCTGCCAAAAACACTATAGACACACCCACTGAGCCAAATGATCCTTGTTATTTTTGGATCCACAAGCTATGATTGCTTGGTGATATGGACACATGTGGTATTATTGTGTCCAATATGACACAAATAATGTGTCCTGGATATTTGCCAATGACCCTCAAGGCATAGAGGTCTTGACATGTGAGACCCGTTATCCCTCTAAACAAATTTCACACGCGTGGCCAGCTGTGCGAAGACTGGCGACAGGACCCTGGAAAGCTCCTACTGAGCCGTCTGACAAAAAAAGTCCTATTTTGGCCTTTTTGACCTTCAATCTATCTGACAAAACAGGTCCGGATTTGGTTTTTGGACCAAAATGCATCTGACCAAAAAAGTCCTGAAAGTACCCAAGCCCAAGGATGCTTGTGACAAAAAAAGTCTGGTTAGGCAGAATCAAGCAGCGGACTGTCACCTGGTTGTCACCATGCTGGTGTATTCCATTACACCATTGAGTGTATAGTGCGTGGAGGCAAGACCTTGGCAATTTGGAATCAAGTAAATACAGTTAAATACTCGATAATTTGCCCTTTTGGCCCCGCCAGCTCAAATTTCAGATGGTTCAATCTGGTTGTATTCTGGTTTTTTCAGCGAGATTGTTTGCTGCTCTTTCAACTCAAGCTCGGTTTAATGTCCCAAGTCACCAAGCTCTTGGGTGACAAGTTGTTCTTTTGCTCAACTTCCTATGACAAAAACTCACGGAGATAAAATACATTTGCCAAAGAAGATTAATTTGTCAGAAAAAAAACAAGAAATCATTATTTTTCTCCAAAAAGATATGCAGGGATTGCTCTGGATGAGAGCAGTCCAAAAGCTGAGAAAAAATTGAAAAAGGTGATGTCTTGATATAGATATACTCTTTTAAAAAAACATCCAAAAAGATATGCATGGAATGTTCTCAATGAGAGCATTCCAGATCTCCAATCCGCTGGTTAATACAATAGGTTTTGAGGTGTAGCAATTGTTTTGGGCCTTCTTTTGAATTTGACAACAACTTGGCTCCACGCACTATATAATCTGCAAAATCTCTCACATGCTTGTGTAACAAGTGTAGGATCAAGGAAAATACTATCACATGTGGGTGTTCAGGTCGTGACTTACAACCAGGCATGGCCTGTTGCAATGCCCACTTCTCATTTATACCCACACAGCTGGACATTAAGCTTTCTTGATGCAGTTGACATCATCTGTGTTTAAGCCTTCAAATGATGCAAACTTTGCATCAGTTCTTGAAAGTGAGGGGAGTTATTCAGTCCCCTCAATGGTTTGCGAGATGTTTCTAAGCATCAAGATGGATCAGTTGGTCAAGCAATATGAGGATGAACAACAACGTCAGTTAGCCACTAACCCAGCTGATAAAGAAGGGGCTTAGTAAACGTTGTGCCTTGGTAGTGTTTTAACAACACATATGTGGATTGCCCAGTTCGCACCCAGGAACTGGCAAAAATGAAACATCATGCTTCTTTATCAGGCTTCTGACCAATCCCGGCGGCTTTTGGCTGGTCCTCAGGGCCTTTTAGGTATCTGACAAAAAAAGACCTATTTTGAACTTTTTTGAAAAAAAAACCAGCTTAGCCTGCTCCAAAGTTGGGAGGCTTCTGACAAAAAAAGTCCTAATTTGGCTAAAATTTAATAATTTTCCAGAAAAAAGTCAAAAAATGTCCTAATTTTTGTCAGACACATTGGTAGGAACCATCCAGGGTCCTCTGGCAACCAGTGGATGGTTGTTTTTTGACCACACCTTGTAAACGTAAAATACATATTACATTTGTTATGTTTACAAGGTACCGTTGGGGATGCTCTTACCACCCTCTCCATCAAATCAAGAGAGCAATCCAAGCAATTGAGATTTAATGAGAGTAAGAAGATTTGCGGAATCCGTCAGGCTTCCCCAGAGAATCCAAAGCTCTGACCAAACTTTACCGGAACCAGTGAATGTGATACCAATCATATTGTGCCCTGATAGAACAACAGGAAGACCTTGAAGTTGTAGATCAAGAGTATGTACAGTCGATTTCAGAAAGCTTGGAAACTTTTGCCCGCCAAACTGGAGCAAATTGGCATGCTTTCAAGCTTTGTGAAATTGACTGTACCTTCAAAAGCTCTTGTCTGGGCACATCCTTTGAGATAGTGTAGTTCTCATGATGTGAGTGTGTCTATGAGCCAAAAACCTCCCAAAATAACGTCAGAATTTGCATCAGAAACCTCCAGATAAGCTTTGCTGGCTCCTCAACAAATCCAAGAAATCTGCAGCTGGGTGCTGTTGACTCCAAAGTTGGAATGTGAGCATTGTGAGGTTTTACATTTGTATTTTGGAGACTGTGTACCATCATGGACAGGGTGCTGTGCCATAAGGTCACCTCAGTATTTTGAGGATTGAGGATAAAGATGATCATGATTCTAAATATATACATAAATGCCAAATACAACAATAGAAAAGGTATAAAGAGATCACATAAGTTTTCAAATAAATAATTCATCAACATTCAAAAATTGTACTTTTCATTCATTCCAAACCATAAAAACCAAAACTAAAACCAAAACCAAAACCAAAACCAAAGACTATCACTATAGTTTAGAATCTTCTTGTACAACAAATTGAATCCCATTCTGATCACAAAACTCTAAAAAAGCAGGATTTTTAATCATTTTAAAATCAATCAATGGTCTATGTTTGAATAAAGCTTTATGAGTTCTAAAACCTAATAAGTTTAAATTAGGCCAAGTTTTTTTTAAAACTAATGATTGAATCGATTCCCAATCTGGTTGACAACATAATAAACAATTTAATTTTTGACTTTCTTGAAATCCATTAATCAAATTAAACGGTTTTGCATCTAATAATACTAGTCTGGTTAATTCAGGTAAATTGAAGGTTTGAGTCGGATTCCATTCTGGTGCATAACTGATATCTTCTGGATCTGAGAAATCACTTTCGTCATCTTCATCGGGAAATTGATCTTCTTCATCTTCATCTTCATCCATCGGATGTTCATTATTAAGATTGTTATTGTTATTGTTGTTGTTGTTGTTATTGTTGTTATTAGCTTGTGAAAGACCGATTAGATGTCTTAACCCAACAGCAAGACTAAGACTATTTAAAGTAGGAGCAAAGAAATTCACAAATTTCGGTACATCAAAAGTTGAAATGTTTTCACATAACACTAAAGATAGATCTGTAAGTCGATTTGACCAAGAATGTTGTACCCAACGTGAATCAACAAAATGACTTAAAGAAAGATCAAGTTCTCTCAAGTTGGGTAATCTTGAAAGGTCTAATGATAACATTACTGGATCTGTCGGTATTGATGGGAATGATCTTAATCTTGTGGGTTTTCCTACAAAGGAAAAGGATTCTAGTAATGGTAAATGTGAAACGATTCGACTGGCTATTTGTTCTCGATATGAAAAGTCCGACGAAGTTGAAAGATTCAGGTTCCTTAATTGACCGAGTCTTCTAAGTGATGGAATCAAGAGGTTTTCAAGATGTTGAGCATGTTGAGCTTGGTAAGGTTTAGGTGAATCCGGAAAATAAATCGTAATGGTATCGACATTGACGCATTGACTAAGGATTTGTAAGACGCTAATAGGACTAAGTTTAGCGATACGAGATTCAAAGTCTTCTGGTTTTGGAATATCACAATCGTTTGGACATCGAATCACGTTATCATAAAGGATTTGAGTTGAAAGGTTTTGAGGACTCATTAAACAAGATTCAGATAAATACATCGATAAAGATTTCACAAGTGGACCATGTTTCGGAAGAATTTCTTCTGTCCACTTATCGATTTCCACAGGTAACGGAGTAGGAAAACTGATGGTCTAAAAGATAAGGATCCAATTCGATGAAATCAATAGTTTTTCAGTCAAGATACCTAAAGACGATTAGGAAAAAAAGAAGGTAGTTCCTTGAAAACCTGATTTCTTACCTTCCATAAATATGTACAAGATAAAGAATAAATCGCTCGATTCACAACAGCAAATGATTGAATACTATTAAGAATCGGTTCATCTTCAGTTAGAGTTGTAAAATAATGTCGAGGCTTTCCATGAATAAATTGATTCTTTCTCTTTCCACGTAAGTTTTTCAAATCCATCACATCGTCTGCTTCATCTATAGCTAGATCGTAAAGTAAATCGATGATCTGAACTACAATTTCGGTTGGTAGATTCAGAAGACATAATCTCTTTTCTGCTAAACTAGATGTTGGCATTGTTGTTGTACAAGGGGTTGAAGGTGAGGCGGGGCGATAGCCTCAGAGAGAAGTCGGTCGGGGGATTGAACGTGGTTTCGATGATGAAGATGATGATGAGAATGATGTCGTCTGAGGAGAGGTTCGTTGTTGGTTAGGTTGAGTTGGTTTGATTTGAAATTGAAGGGCTTTAATAGAACATTCTGGTGGGTTGAGTGCTTTTTACAGCTGAATTGAGAATGAATTTGTTTTTGAAAAGTGCATCATAGCCCAAAACCTGGTTTTCATTTTGACCCAGTTTTGTTCCTCCGCTAATCCTGAGAATACAAAGAACACAAACCCTGTAAAGTCATTTTTTTGGTTGGTTTTTGACTACCGCGGCAACAACTTTTTTCCAAAAAATAAGGGTCAATCAGGGTCAATCATGCTCAAATTGGCTGTAAGCACCCTGAACTTCTGTCTTTCTATTCAAACTGAAGCCATAACAAAACTTCTACAAGATCTAAACATATGTACAGCCATCATGCAAACTGATCAAACATTCAACTCATCTCCTATTTTGTTCATGGAGGTTCATGGCAACTTTGGTGTAATTTAGGCAGTGGGTCCTAAGAGGCTAAGGTCAAAAGACCCCAAACAGCTCCTATGGAACCAACTAGGGCTGTGACCTGGCCATGGCTCTGCAGCTGTGCCCAATGCTTTTCTGGAAGCAGACAGTATGTACCCTGACACACCAAAACCCTTGAGAAGAGTCATAAAAGCCCTCTCTGCCTGGTTGCCCATATTTTTTTCAATGGATATTCAAAAAAAAACCTTTTGAGTAGGCGCCCATAGTTCTTTTCAAGATCTGACAGGCTCACATCACAGGGGCAACAATAGATGCCCACATTAGGGTGAGCATTGAAATTTTCTTGTTTTTTTCAACATTTGTTCAATTTTACTTCCAAATTCTTTCCCTTTTCCTCCTGTTCTCTTCCTGCTTGTCAGCTGATTAAATGATAAACAGGAACTGAGCAGATGAAATAGGCATTCCTCAGGCATCATTCCTTAGCAAAGAAGCCTGAGGGAGGGCTGGCCCATCTGCTCACTTCATCCCAGCCACTCAGCTGATCCTCAGCGGTATGTCTTGGAGCCTGCTGATCTGGGATTTTGGACAAGGTGCTGAGCTGTTCTGAGTATGCAGTGACTCATGAACTGATTCTGAGTACTCATCTGAGAGACTGAGCTCAAAGAATGCTCATACAAGATGGAAATGAGCATTCTCCAGCAATGTATGGAAAAAAACAAGCAAAACAGCCTGATTACCTGAGCACTATCAAATTTTCCAATTGAAGGAATCTGACAGAGAAACAATCTTCTTTGGAGAATTCAGGAAAGTGTACAATGCTCACATGTATGTGAGCATCAAGTTTGGCCCCTGTGCATAGGCTTTATATACGATTTCATACACCTGAACACACAGTAAAAGTCATTTTAGCCCCTTTGCTCCTTTTTAGCTCTTATAATTAATTCAGGGTGTGCCCTGTTAGGCCCTGATTGATTTCAGGATCTCCTCTAGTCTGCCCAGAGCTGGGAAAAGCCCTGTGGCCGCTTAATCACACTCAGAGCTGGGCCACAGCCCTAGAACCAGCCTATCCATTCCCTTTTCCGTTTGTAGGGAGCTTTTTCAGGGGGAACTAAGAATTGAGTCAGGCAATTCGAGTATATTAAATTGCAAAACAAGTCAATTATTCTAAACATAAGTATACATATAATTGTCTCCTTATGTACACACGACAAGTATCGTGTGTGTGGGGTAAGGAACACATCTGCTAAGGAGCCCTAGCAATTCTAGCTTCAAAATGCCCAAATTGTCTATGGGTTGCCAGAGGGCTTTGTACCAACACAAGAGGACAAAAGCCCTGTAACATAAACAGGAGGGGTTAGCGTACACCCCGAACTAAGAACTTCTGTTCTGTTCTGTCTAGGACGTATACAGAGTAGGGTGGGTGGGAGGACCAAAAAGGGAAAAAGGGGAGAACGAAAAGCAGGAAGAGAGAGATCCTTCCGGCGAAGAAAGAAAATTAGTGATGGGGGAAAGAGCATCTTGAAGGACAACTGATCATGTCTTATTAGGAATGATCCAGTCTTTAGTCAGATGACTGCATGACGCAATTGTCCTTTCCTATTTTCCCGAGAGAGGAGCCAGTGCACGTACAGTTACGCTACTGCCTGGTCCACTCTCTAAGAAAGCCGGGATCTTTGAGTGCATGGACCAACACAACCTCCCTTGTGCCTCGTACGGATACTACACATGTAAAATTGCCAAAAATTCAATGGGGATGTGAAATTTTGCACCGAGTGATTTACACTGAATCAATCAGGGTAAAAATGTGTTGGTGCAAGAGTCACCCAGTTTGTAAATGAAAATTTATACTGAGATTTTGACACCACAAGGAGCCCATTTCTAGAAAAACTACATTATATTTGCATTTTGAACAAAGAATCACATCCCCTAGCTACTAGTCACTAGCAGGCCAGAGGCTGCCACAACGTCAAGGAGTTCTCAAAGTGATTTCAAATAAATTGTACAGAAACTTCAGAGAAATTTCAAAGCAATTTCAGAGAAATTTCAAAGCAATTTCAGATGATGGCTTCAACCATCTGAACTGTTCTCATACCTTAATTGTAACTCAAAATGTATTTTTTGTCCGCCAATATTATAATTGTATCTTGAAATGTTTTTTCTGTTCACCAATATCCCAATTGTAACCCAAAATGTTTTTTCTATCCACTAATACCTTAATTGTAACTTGTAATATTTTTTCTGTCCACCAATATCCTGATTACAACCTGAAAAAAAAATCTGTTCTGCACTATCCTGACTGTACCTCAAAATGTTGTCTCCATCCACCAATATCCTGATTGTAACTCAAAATGTTTTTTCCATCTAATAGCCCTATGGCACCAGAAATATTAATGTTAATACAGCTTCAGTACCCCCTTATGGCCAGCAAGGGGCCCCATGGCAAAAAAGCCCCACATTGTTGGTACTATTCATGTCAATACAGTGGGAGTACCCCCTTGATGACCAACTACAACTCCTGTGCCAAAACCTCTTGCCACCCTGTATTCCTTTTTTTGGTGTGTAATTGCTGGCTAACAGCAGCACCACCAACAAATATGCCTCAGATTGGCAAATCTGAGCTATCCTCAGATGGCAATAGCCTCAGATTTGATGTCTGAGTATATGATCTGAGGCAATCTTTGAGGGCAAAGAAAGCCTTGGATTAATTCCTTGGACACACAGTCCAAGGGGATGTATACCCCAGGCAACCTCGAATTTTACAATACAAGGTATCTTTGCTGGCAGTGCAGTGAGGACTAGAGACTCAAGTTGAAAAATGCCTGAAATACAACTGTCCCTACATCAAAAAACTGCTCATCATTTTGAAATTCTCAAAACCCTTTTAGAAAGCCCCTCCTGAGAAGCACAATCTAGGTTTTTTTGTAAAAAAAAAAAGAGATTCAAAGGGCTGGAAGGCAAAGGTAACAAAAAATAGGCACTTTGCGGCCAACTTGAACCCCCTGTGACAGCCATCCAGTCGGAATCTTTAATCAGGATTCTGGTCATGCGTGTTCCAATGCAAGGCCAGGGGAATGTCGGGTTTACATATGTAGCCAAAAGCCCCGCTGCGGGCCACAAGTCTGATCCGCTGTGACGGCCCGACTTCGGATATGCTCGGGTTGGTAATAGTATGGTCTTTCAAGATTGCGGAGCCGTTGTTTCCCACCGACATCTCGAGCAAAGCATCCACAACTCAATTCTTGAACCATCATCAATTCAAAACCCAAAACCCAAACGCATAACAAATACAAAATGAGTCAGTAGTGGTAATACTTTCAACTCTGAAACGCATAAATAGTAATCCGTTTGTGAATTCATCAACCTTTGTGTGGCACAGGTGGATTATCATTATGGTTATCTCCGAACGGTACACAGCTTGAAGTTCTCGATAAATTGATTTCAAAACTATCAGAAGAAACTCCTGGATGTTTATCATTCCAACCTCATGCAACTTTGATTTCAGATGAACAAGTACCTGATTTACCTATCGACCAAAGTTTGCCAAAGTTTTCCTTATCAACTTCAACATATGTAAAAGTCAAGAAACCTAATGAATCGAATTCTTACTGGGGTTTATTTTGATCGAATATATCAAAAGTCTTAGAATTGGTCTCAAAATCTGTTCAAGAATGGAATTCAACCGAACTAGGATGTACATCAAAACCATTTCTACTTCGATTTCAAGAAGTTCAACGCGGAGGTCACTTTTATCAAGTTGAGTAAGATTTAACGTACGGGAACCCCAATCGTGAAAAAAATTGCTCACACATCCTTGACACATCTGTTTGCCTTGAGTTAGTGCGTCTTGGCTTCTCTTGTCAAAAGTCCCGAATTAATGTCACTCAACGCAACCTTAAAGCGCAATCTACTGGACTCGAGCAAGCTGGATCAACTACCGCCTTATTTTCCTCATCTCAGCTTAGTATACGGTGACTTGACGGATGACGTGAAACAAGCCATCATTGAACGCTTGATAAGTTCTGGACAGCTGGTACCTCCCGGTAACCTTTTAGGACTTGATAGCTTTGAGCCCACTGAGATTCTCCTCGTTAGGACATCTGGCAGCTCGGAAGATTGGAAAATATTGGGAAACGTTCAACTTTCGGATGGCAAGTTTGAAGCCGCAAGCTGACAGAGAACTTCACCTCCGAGTGACACAAACATCGCAGATTTCATTCATCTTTCGAAAACGTTATTTCATGCTGAGTGATTTAGTTGATGTACTTTCATGGGTGTGACAATCACTTTACTCCTCTTATCTTGATCTGTTTTTATATCTTGTGTGCTGTGACGTGTATTCTATGTAAGCAGTCAATCTCTTGAGAAAATGTGCACATAATCTTATACAAAACTCCATGCTGTAATCTTTATCTACACCGATCTGAGTTTATCTCTAGGGTTTCGTGATCTCGCAAAAACCTTGTCTTGGAGCTGCTGTTGTACAATACAAGTAGCTGAATCTGGTTCTTCAGCTGCTGATGTGCCATTGTTTGTAAAGCATCATGATACACCCATGTAAGTCGTCTTCGTTTTTAGCAAGAATATTGCATGTGTTGCTGTGAAGTGAAGGACATGAACTTTGTTTGGTATGCACTCACCTCACGTATCATGAGGAGGTAGCTATATTTTCCTTGAATTTGTTGCAGGATTGTAGGGGCATGGGTGAAGGCGCGACCGTGACGCTACTTGAGAGCCCCAAGAAGATCACTTACGTTTTTTACTTGGCTGAAATGGAGTGTCATTTGAAAATGCTAGATAAAACGTTGCGAGGTCCCTGTCTCGAATTCTAGGTTGATGAAGTCACTTGTTGATATCATGATGGGAATCATGGTTAGAATTTCGCAATCAAGAGGTCATGATCGAACGCGTTTTTCAACTGAACTCATCTCACACTGTGTTTCAAGATATATGTATGGGCATGTGTGGCCTCCACCATTGCTGATGAAAGGCAACTTTTGGATTGAGTTCAAAAGTTTGGTTCAATTGAGAAAAGGTGGTTTTCCGTAAACAACCCGCCCACCGCAAGCTCAAAGTTGGAAGTGTACTGGGCCGAATCTGGTAAGTATGCAGCGGAGTCTCAGAGAAACGGTGGGATTTTACGCACAAGGAGCTTGATGAGAGGGACTCTGTGAACTCGATTACCTCAGAGTTCTCAGCAGCCTATCCACTTCAAGCTTCTTACTCGCGGGTTTACCGCGGTGACTGATCAGTCTCAATCATGATCGCCTGCTTCTGTCTCAGCTGGGTTAGAATAAATACAACGAGCAGAAAACCAGTGAACATTTTCGTTGATCAGTACCACGCTGTACCACGCTGAAGTTTTGGTTTAGTGGGAGGCTGTTTATACCAAAGGCCTATCCTTATCATCAAAGTTTTAGAAAATTAGATTGTGAATCACTCCAATATGTACTCTATTTAAAAAATTCCTCACAGCATCCACATCTTTTGCAACTTAAACTTCACCTATCTTCTGCTCAAAGCCTCGCGGGAATCATCCCATCTCAAATTATTTTATTCTTCCACGTACAAGGCATTGTTAAAAATTATAACATTCAATCAATCATGGATATAGACGATAAAAGAAATTCTAAAGTGGTTATAGATGAAACTTTCATAAGTACGGATCAGCCACTTACATTACCCTCATCGGAAGACGAGAAAGCTTTGGCTGCCTTGGGATACAAGCAAGAATTCAAACGAGAGTTCGGATTATGGACAACCTTTGGAGTGAGCTTTAGTGTGATGGGATTACTTCCAAGTTATGCTTCAGTTATGCTCTATGGTTTGACTTATGCTGGAACTGGTGGTTAGTAAGATTCTATTCTTTATTCTCGCATGTAAAATTTCTAATCAGATTCACTTTTTTCTAATGGGATATCTATTCAGGAATGGCCTGGGGATGGATAGTAGCTATGATACCAATCCAATGTATCGCATGTAGTCTAGCAGAATTATGTTCATCAATGCCAACAAGTGGTGGACTTTATTATGCTTCTGCAGTACTTGCACCCGATGGATTTGGACCTTTAGCAGCTTGGTTAACCGGATGGTCAAATTGGATTGCACAAATCTCCGGTGCACCTTCTGTAGATTACGCACTTTCTTCAATGATTCTTGCTGGTGTTTCAATCACACATCCTACTTATACTCCAACAAATCCTCATACATTTATCTTAACTGCAGTCATTATGCTTATTCAAGCTACTATCTCTTCACTTCCGACTAAAACTATCGCAACCTTGAATGGATATGGTACTTTGTTAAATTTTGCGGCTCTTTTTATCACTATCTTTGTTATACCACTCGCCACTACTCGAGCTGGTCAGGTCAATCCATCTACAGGTGAGATTATGAACCGAGTAGCTTCAAGTAGTGAAGTTTGGGGTAGTATTCATAACGGTACAGATTATCCAGATGGAGTTTCAATCCTCATGTCTTTTATTGGAGTCATTTGGATCATGTCTGGATACGACGCATCATTTCATTTGAGTGAAGAATGCTCAAACGCAAACATCGCAGCTCCGAGAGCAATTGTGGTAAGCTTTTCTATTCACTGAGAAATATCGAATGTCATGTAATCTTATTTGCTTGGCTATTCTGTTAGATGACATCCAGTATCGGTGGTATCATCGGTTGGATCATTCAAATCATCGTGGCTTATACTATCATCGACATCGATCGCGTGTTGGACTCAAGTCTCGCTCAACCATGGGCAGCTTATCTCTTGCAAGTCTTACCTCAAAGGGCAGCACTAGCCATCCTATCTCTTACGATTGGGTGTAGCTTCTTTATGGGCCAAGCATGTATGATAGCTGGTTCAAGAGTTGCCTATGCATATGCACGAGATGATTGTTTTGGTCCATTTTCAAAAATCGTAAAAGTGGTCAACTCAAAAACAAAAACACCCGTGAACGCAGTTTGGTTCAATACTTTCATCGGCATTATCATCCTTTTACTCGTCTTTGGTGGACCTTTGGCTATCAATGCAATCTTTTCTATAGGCGGTATAGCTGCTATGGTAGCTTTTGCAATTCCTATCTCTATGAGAGTTTTCATTCGAAATTCAAACTTTCAAAGAGGTCCATGGCATCTTGGAAAATTTGGAAAACCAATAGGTGCTTTAGGTGCAGGATTTGTGGCATTGATGGTTCCGATTATGTGTCTTCCGGCAAAAACTGGTAGTCGTCTCAAGTGAGTAGTCTTTTCCCTTGGATATCATTTTTTTCAAATCTTGAATGTCTCAATTTTTTCCTTTGCACCAAATTGACAAAGTTTTCTTCATTTGTGTATTTTCTCTAGTGCGGAAAACATGAATTGGACTTGTATGGTATACGGAGGATGGATGACTTTTATTAGTTTATGGTGGATTTTTAATGCTAAGAAATGGTTTAAAGGACCCAAAATTCAAGAAACAGAAATTATCAGTTACGAAATTGAAAAAGGTTTTAATAGAAACCTATAAATTCCATTTTGCGAAAAAAATCACATTTTGCTCAAGACTTGATCCGGAATTGGGAGTCTTTGAGAATAAATGTGGATGTATCAATACTTGAACTAATGTCAAATTTTATTTTCTCAAATTGTAATTTTTATGTTTATGATATACACATAGATAAATGAATCGGTATATACTTCCACAAATATAGTTTCTGTAGCCTAAAACATGACATCTTCAGGGGTGATATATTTCCTGAACGTATTTCTCTTGTCTCATTCACGTTTAACAACTTACAGTTCATGAAAAATAATAGATCTTGTGACTTGTATAGCAAAGGTCACATAAATTTAAAACACGCCCCAAATGGCAAATCTTAGAGTTAACATGGAGTCATGCGATACTTGTACCATTGAAAGAAAGCAAAATGATTGCATATGGCCATAAAGGATTTGATCTGTTTTTTTCGGGGAAGCATATACAAATCAAACGTTTATGACATGTTTTCATTGAACCCCACCCAATTTTCGATTCGTTTTCATCTCCATTGTCAAACACAAGATCAACCCCTTTACCAAATCAACAACCGGTGGAGTGCGGGGGACATCGTGGGTCCGGCTTCTTTCCAGTGTCACTAAGATTGGTTTGAGGAGGAAATAATTTGAGAATTGTGATTGAAATCAGTCAGAAACTTTGATTGAATGATTGAAATGATTTATTGAGATTGAAATCATCAGACTGGTAGTCTTTACTTACTCTCCTGATCGTCGTTGCAGGCTTCGATGAGCGACTCTGTATACATACAATGAATTCAGCACCACAACACTTATTGGAATTGAAGTCGAATAGCAATATCAAGAAATTGTAATATGAATCTGGGAATGTTTTCTTACGGTCTGTCCTCTTGAAGTGACTGAGCCGAAATAGCGGCTGTAGCAATTGACGGAGGTTAGTATGAGTAAGTAGAGATGGACAACAGTTCATGAAAGAGATCAAAATTTTTCACCTGCTAGAACAGAAAGCATAGCGACTTTGAAGAAAAGCATAACGGGCGATCACTTGTATAAGTTGGGTTTTTTGGTGGGTCTTCAAAAAGTTAAGATCTTGGTCAGGTTGAAGGAATATTCCCATCGTGGATCTTATTTATATGCATAGCATTGAAAAACCGCGCCATTCGGCAAACAGGTTTTACGCAGGTTTATCTTAGGCCGGAATGATCTCGAAGGTCTGCAGGCGGCAGGCCTGAAATGCTGACGTACAGGGCCGTAAACTTCAAGAACCGGCTTCAGCAGGAATCTGAAGCCGGTTTTTGATTCGAATGGTTTTCCAAAAAGCAAAAACAAAGGTAAGAAAGACCAGTTTTGGTTGCCTTGGAATCTATCCAAGACCATGTCTGCCTTGCCTGCCTTGCCTGTCTTTCGTGCATGCAACCTAGCGCTTGTCTCTGTCTGCGAGGTCAGAGATGGGAGTGCAAAATTCTAATGTTGCCAAGCGTGGGCCTGTAGTAAATATGTACTTCCTGCCACTCATGTTGTAGTGTGATACTTGTTCCTCTCTTAACCCCGTTATCGGGTTCCTGGCGTAGCGCCTTCAAGTTTTGTTTTTGATTCTTCGGTCAATTTCCATTGCTATCAAAGAATAGCATTCATTCGATAATGTCATACTTTCGCCAATGGTTCATCTCACAAACACACCAACCACCGATAAAGTTCAGGGTTGTTTGTATCTACATGTGGTGTCAACATCCTGAAAAGTGTTCTAGATTTCACCAGGTTGATGTTGTGTTTTGATCAGATCCAAACGAACGGGATAGTTACAAACTCTTGCTCGTCAAAATCACATGGCATCGTCTTCCACTCTCAGTTTGTGTGATATCTAGGATTGGGAGCTAGACTTTGTTGTTTGGTTTCACGATGCATTACATATTATGCATTTCTGTTGGTCTCTTATTCAGTCCTAGTTAAACCAAACATCCCGTGCCAGAGAGGTTTTGGTTTCTTGGGGGGGGGCCCTCGGTGCCGAGGGGAGTAGGACTACTGGAGACTGTAGATGGGGGAGCTCTGAACGGTGGGCTAGGTGTTACGGCTAAGGCCACCTAGGCATTGAGGATGGCTTGGCAATTAGCCTAGGCTCACCTGTTTTCGGTTTAGACCGTTGGAAGATGTAGGAATGTCTGAGATGTTTTAGGCCTAGACTGGTTTCTTGTTTTCCCATTTCGTCATCTTTGTAACGCCGTGCTGAAACACGTTTCATATAAATAGTTCCTGTTCTTTCCTGAAACTTGTGTTGCTTTTCCTATTGTCACAAAGCGTGTTTGTTTCGATAGTTCTATAGCTAACACTATCACTTTAGGTTAGAACTTTATTTCTCTCTCTCTTTATAATGCAATTGTCACAAAGTGTGTTTGTTTCGATAATTCTATAGCTAACACTATCACTTTAGTTCTCGTGCCGCTCTACAGGTTATGAGCTATTCTTTACCCGACGGCATCGAAGACGAATCTTTTGAAATATCAAACACCGGATCAAATAACACACTCTCCAACGCTAATTGCATTGAAGAACTCATTGAGACCGACGCAACTGACCAATCATCACCCTCATCGAATATGGAAGACGTTCAGACTACTGGCAACGGTGGTACTACCGGGCAACTATCTAACGTCAATCAACATAGTCCTAATCCAAGCAACTTACAACAAAACTTAAATCTTCAAAACAATCAAACTAATGTTCAAGAACAGCTTAATGTTCAGAACATGACTAACATCTTTCAAGCAGCTACCCCGGTGACGACTAACAACACGTCGTTTGCATCCTTGTGGAAAGCCTGTCCTATCAAATTGGACAGACTTGCTATCCTAGCTGCCAACGGGGCAAACTTCGACATCTGGGATGCCGACGTTCGCCGTTTACTTGTTCATTTTCCTGGTTGTGTTCCTTATCTTCAACAAGGGGTTATGCCGACTCAGTTTGGATGGAATCCCGACTACGCTGAAGGTGTCATATCACTTATGCACTGGACAATCGATAAACAGTTGAGTTTACGCTTAAATCAAGTCTCGACTGTCCCCTCTGAACGTTACGGATATCTCAAAGCACAATTCTCAGGTCAAACGTATGCCAGTCAAATTTCACTTCACCATGATTTACATACCACTATGTACGATCCATCTTCCGATACAATCGACAGTCACATTGCTAAAGTCTCGGGCATAAGAAGAAAATTGGAACGTTCAGGCATGATGACTAAAGACAATGACTTTGCGGCGATACTGGCGAACAGTATGCCCAGCGGTTTTCCGGATGTTACTCATACTTTCAAGCCACTTATTCGTTCCGATCCTCAAGCTTCGATTGGATCTTCTAACATGACCTGGGCTCTTGGGGCTGCAGACACTGCTTTCAAAAGAGGATCCGTGGGTGTGGCTGAAGGAATGACGGCGGTAGTTAAGAAGAAGTTTGAATCATCAAAGCTTAAGTGTTATTATTGCAAGAAGAAAGGACATAAGGAGGATGTTTGCAGGGCCAAGAAGGCCAAGGAGCGATCTGTAGAATCGGCTTCGACCTTGGATGCCAGAATTGTGGAGCCACAATTTGCTGACATCGACATCACCGGGTGCGTCAACGGCAGACACATCACCATTGCTCAAATGGACACTAACGTTGCACCTTGAACCATCATTTTCGATACTGGGGCTACTCATCATGTATTCAATAATCGTTCTTATTTCATCTCTATTCGAAACATTACACCTATTCCAGTTAAAATGGCGAATCATTCTGTTTCCTCTTTTATCTCTGCTATTGGTTCTGTTAGAATATGCAATGTAACAAATTCCTCGGAATTTCTTGACATTCAAAACGTTTATTTGTGTGAGACTCTCCGACATAGCCTTTTATCTGGGATTCAACTAGAAGAAGAAGGTGTATCTTTTCGAAATTCAAGTGTTGGAATTGAGTTATGGAAGAACAACTCAAGGGTTACAACTGCCCAACGCTCAGGTAGGAAATGGATCCTACGAGCACTCTGTCCCGATGTAACCACTGCGGCTGTAATCGGTGACTTTAATCTATGGCATCGACGCCTAGGTCATCCAAATGACAAAACATTGCTGAAGCTTATCCGTGACGGATCTTGTGTAGGATTGCCGGAAAAGTTAACGAAAACTACGCCATGTGAAGAATGCGCTATTTCGAAATCTACCAAGACATCCACCATTGGACCATCCCTTGTTTCTTACGACGAACCCCTACAACTAATTGTTGCTGATTTGTGTGGTCCCTTTCCAGTCAAGACCATATCAGGGTGCAAATACTCTCTCGAAATTCGTGACATCTATTCAACATTTATGAGAACGTATTTGCTCAAATCGAAGAATGAAACTCAGGATTATATTAAGACACTACACAAAATATAATATTTTCTGGGCAGAAAATTAAATTATTGATACACAAAAATATTGAGAGGCCAGGAGAAGGGCAAAAAATAAATAAAAATATGTATCTTGTTCCCTGCGGTGAGAGCTTCACTCTCCATATTTTTCCATATTTTTACAGTCCGTATTGATAAGTACGGAATGCGAGAGGTGTCAAGGTGACAATGCAAAAATCAAAAATCAAAAATCACAATTCCCGGGTGCAAAATTCAAAAATCAAAGACAAAACTACAGAAAATATTCAAATACAGGGCAAAAACCCCTGTACTGGAGTAAAAGTCATGGCACAAACCACTTTCAGACCAGGTTACGGCCCAAATTTCAGTAGATTGACAACTTGAAACTCAACATTTGTCACCCCATTGTCGCATTGACACAAAAACTACCAGGAAAGCCACAAAAGAGGAAAACAAAATTCAAAAATCAAAAAAACAAAAGTCGAAAATCAAAAAACAAATGTTGATAATCAAAAAACAACAATTAACAAACCATAAAAGAAGACCCCAAAGATGAAAACTTCACATTAGATGATGAAAATTGTACAAACCACCTCTCTACCTCTCTACCTCTCAACCAATCACACAACCCA